TAAGAGCTGCAATCTTAATCTCATTGTAAAGTTTCTCACTAATTTCATCAGTATCAGCTGGTGATCTGTAACAAGTTCCTAGTAAATACCTTCTCACTTTATATTTACTAATAGAAACCTAAATGGATTCAGTCTCCTTGCTATTTTCTTTCATATCATCAACTTCAACATATTTTACATATAAGGCCACTCTTCCCCCTCTCTCTAGTACCCTCTCCTTATAAAATAACTTGTAACCCTGTATTTCAAAGAAATTTCTGTCATCAAAATCATCTGCATTTAACCATGTTTCATTTATTCCCACTATAACAAAATTCTCCATTCCTACCAGTGCTCTAAGGTCATCTGTTTTATTTCTTATACTTCTAGCATTAGTACAGTAACAATTAAGCCTACCCTTATAAATATTTCTATACTAATTTCCTATACTAAACTTTTCTCTGCCTCTTATTCTTTTTTCATTTAGTTTATCTTGGCCCTCACCACTGTCTAGTCCTAGTTTATAACTTCCCTTACATCTGATTTAATAACCCTAGCAAACAAGCCAGTCCCTATCCTGTTTAAATGTAAACCATCCATTTCAAAAAGCTCCCTTCATCCACTGAACTGATCCCACAAGTCCAACCAGCAAATCTGCTCATCCTTACGTACTAACATAAGTCTAGTATTTAGTCCTACTGACCTACTTATAACTTCATCCCCACAGTTAATTCTGGACAGTATCCCTGACAAAATTAAGTTATGGCCTCTTTCATTAAATGCCTTTATCAAACCCTTATACTTATTAATTAGCTCCTCTGAACTACCTTTCCCATGTCATTAGCCCCCTTGTAAACAACAAAAACTGCACCTCTGCTAACCAGGATTATTATATCTTCTGCTCTGTCAGTTATATCCTCCACCTGTGCCCATGGATAGCATAATCTGATTCTTTTCTTCCTATTTACCCCACAGACTATCCTATCTACATTCCTTAGCAAGGAATCACCTATAACTTCCTTAACTTTATCATCCATATCCTTCTCTGTCCCTTTTGTTTTCCTTCTTTCCTCATTTGTAGAAGCCAAGGGCTGAAATCTGTTGCTCAGTAGAATAGGTTTATTGCAATTAAATTAACCACTTTTAGCCCCAATAGTACAATTTCTAACTTCCTGAAAGCCATGGTTAGCTGATGTATCCTTTGCATGTAAAAGTTTAAGCTCCTCTTGAAATCCTGCTGCCATTTCCCACAGTCTACACTTCTCTTTATCTATCGCCTCCAATTAGTATATCTATCCTCCAACCTACAAACTCTACATACAAATTGCACATCTTCACTACTGGTACTAGCTTCCTTAAAAGTACATACCAGTCCCAAGTTTCAAATAAAACCCACTCTTATGCATGCAAAGTAAAGAATGACTAGCTGTTAATTTACTGTTGCTGTATGATAATATTCACATTATTGCAAATATTTTGAGTCATTGTAAGTATCAATTAGCAAATTATTAATGAAACTCTGATGAAAAACCCTTCAACTAGTAAACTTGCTTGCATTGGCTGCCAGGAAGTGGTACAGACTGCCAGAGGGTGATGAACAAATGGCATTATATAATAAAATGTTTGGCACCTAAAGTTTTATAAGTGTGTGAAGTTACACATTCATATATCTATAAAAGGGTACAATCTTGCCAGTTTCTTGTGTTTGACTGCTTAATCATTGTGAACAGTCCTTTCACTATTATCCTTTTAGACCCAGCATGGCCAGGTGGTTAGGGCAGTCGACCCAGAGTCTGAGGGTCGCGGGTTAGATTCCCCATCCCACCAAACGTGCTCGCCTTTTCATCTGTGAGGGCTTTATAATTTGACAGTCAGTTCCACTATTCGTAGGTAAAAGAGTAGCCCAAGAGTTGGTGGTGGGTGGTGATGACTAGCTGCCTTCCCTCTAGTCTTACACTGCTAAATTAGGGACAGCTAGTGCAGATAGTCCTCGTGTAGCTTTGCGCAAAATTCAAACCAAACCAATTATGCTCTTAATCTTTAAGGTGGCAATTACGTAAAAAACAAAAGTTTTATTTAATGGGTGAAAATATACAAAACTGAAATTCTTAGATGACTGCCTTATGTTTACCATGAAAAAAAAAAAGAGAGAGAATTGTCAATACATGCACACACAGTATGAGAGAATTATATATGTCCAAGAAAAATAAGCAGATCGGGTATGTTTTGAACATATCAATATGGTAATCCCAAGGTTAAATCTAGAATACATGCACTCTACCTCCACTAAAACTATATGTTTGAGGATCTAGTATGTGGACGGACAATTGCAGTGATTTGTTATTGGCAAAATGAAAGATAATACAAGGTGATTAAGTAAAAATGAAAATAAGACATTATTTTCTGATGACAAGCTGAAAACCAGAAGCTGACTGTTGAGTGGTAGAACTGTTGTGAATGAGAAATTAAGATTCAGAGGTAAAGAAAGAAGTTAAACTGTATTTAACTAAGGAAAACAACTAAAAGAAACTCATCTGATTTCTACTTCATCAGAAGTCAGAGCAAATCTGGTGTAAAAGCACATATTCTCTGTATCTGGCCAATCAGAAAATGAACACCAGAATGTAGAAATAACTCTACTCCATATGACAGTCACAAAGTAGTCCTCTGTGCACAAGATGAAGCAAAACATAATGCAACTATCCTATGAAACAATGGTATAAGTTCACTTACCAAATAACTTACAAAAAGTAACACCTTGAGCTGAATTTAGCACATAACTTCAATCAGCTTTGGTATATTTCAAGTGAGAACTTTAAAAATCCAAATATTTTGTAGGTATGAAATAAACACTACAGGAGAGTGAGATACATAGTATTCATTATTACTTTGCTTTGATTCTCTTGTATTTTTTCCATCACCAGCAAATCTCATATTATATTTCAACTTTTATTTAGGTGTTGGTTTTGTACTTTATTTGATTAATGTAACTTTTTTGTTTCTTTGTTTATTATTTATTTAAAACTTAAATTTGTAGTATATTATTCTGATGTTCTGCTATTATTGTAATATCAGATCCTGTACCAGATAAGGAGAAGCATTGGTATATTCCAAAAATTAAAGTTATCCGTAAGTAACAAATGACATTTGTATTGTTTTATCGTTAAATAAATAGGATATTTCTACAGTAACTTGACATTGTTATAAAATATTATTGTAGAAACTTTATTATAAAGTTTGTTTGTTTATAGCTAAGCATGAAGCTACATTATGGAAATTCTATGGATATTGAAACCCGATTTTTAGCATTATAAAGCCTTCAGACTTACCATTGTGCCAGTAGTTTACATATTTGACCATTTCTCTATTGTGTTATCTTTAAACATTAGTGACTGTCAGACACACTCACTTATATTAACCCTACTCTTGTATTAAAGGAAACATACACACTTAAAAAACTTTTTTTAGTTTAACCCAAAGGAACTTTCACTTATACCTACAGTAAGAATTGATTTGTATATCTCTATCTGATAAAATAACCATCTGTACCTAGGCAGACTTGTTGCCAGAGATTTGGAGGAAACATGGAGCTCTTATAATAACTGTCTAAATAGTAACTTGCATGCATTTCATTAATTGTTAGATCATAATCAAAAACTCTAAACACAGTAAGTAAAATATGGATATTGTTAAAATTGTTAATTAAAACCATAGCTATTTCTGCCACACTCATTTGCAACTTATTCCAGTCTTGGATATTCAATTTAAGAGTAGATAATAGTATGAATATTTTGTTTTGATGGAGATGAAAGAGAGAGAGGGAATATTGGAGGTATTCGACCTGAGAGCTTTCTTTTCTCTGTGATCATGGTGCAAATGTACCAGTTGCACACCTCAGGGGAATATATACAGGGTTGACCATAATTAGATATTCATTTAAAAATTAGTTGCTCAAACATCATTTTTCAACATAAATCTATTTTTATTATCAGTTACACAAAACCCAAAAAGTTTATTACTGTCACACAAGAAATGAACTTATATATATAAAAACATATAAATATGGCTTACTATGTAAATATGTATATATATGTATTCACACCCACCATGAAAGTATAAATGACTTTCAGTTATGGACAGTCAACATAATCATCGGTATATGTTAAAGCAATAGTAAATTTGTATATCTCGAGTCAATGACCAGCATATTCAAAAACCTTTGAAAGATCTTTTATGTGATAACTTTTATACTCATGTGTCATTTGTATATGGTGTACGAAATTGTGCTCATAATTCATAATTTGTTAAGTTAATCTGAAGTTTTTTTCAGGCATGTACATATATATTACTCTAATATACACATTTTATCTTTATTTAACTATCACTAAGATTACTATTTTTGTGATGTTCTTTCATTGGTGGATTCCTTTAAATTATCCAGTGGAATAATTCAAAGTCTAGTACACATAAACTAATGAATGCGTATATTTTCTCCTTTAACGTTTCTACAAGCTTGGATACTTGTACACTGTTGTATGCTTCTGTATGTCTACTATATTAGCCTAAAACAAATCAACTTTCTTGTAATTCAATAAGTGTAGTAGAAAACAGAGATTCAAATACTTCATGAAAACAAACATAGACTGATTCAGCTCTCTGTCTTGAAAAAACAAAAAAACAATTTACTTTCAGTCTCCTTGACTATCTTTCAGCTTACAGCTTGAAACAATTATCTTATATTATAATCTAACTTCAAATTTACTAGAATACTTCACACTTAATCATTAGAACTTTGTAAGCCTTTTTTGATGTTATCGTTTATGAACTGCATCTCCTTCTAGCTAAATAACAAATTACAACATATAAGATATATTTTATAACATTACATTGTGTGAGAAATAAAATGAAAGTTAATTAGTAAGGCAAGTATTTAATGATATGAAGAAATGTAACTAAGCATTACGTTTTTAATCATTATCTCATTTTTAAAAGTTTGTTGTTTTTTATGTATTCTAGCTTGTGTTTTTGTTCAGTATTATATTCCAACTTGGTTGTTTTTTCATTTATTTTCACAAAACATCACTTTAAGTTACAACAACTTAGTTTGAATTTGTACTTTAATAAAATAATTTCTTGTTTGTTTTAAATTTTATCTGGGAAGAATTATTTTGCCCATTTTATTTTTAATCACTTTTAGAGTCTACAGGTTCTAAGGACTACAGCCTGAAGATTAATGTTGATGGTCAGTATGAATTGTTATTCACATGGTTTTAAAATGCAATATATAGATATTGATATTTCATTAATCAAATTTTTGTTGTAGCAGTGTTAATTTGACAACAGTCTTGTGTGTATTTGTGCCATTTTTCTTAGCATGTTATCATCCCTATTTTATCCATCACCCCTTGAAAATGTACGAAATTAAACATAAAATACCCTCTATAAAATGGTTATTGCTCAAACAAACCATAATTTTAATAGCCTTCATTTTTTTTTGGTTACAGAGCTATCAAATAGAAAATGTTATTTTGTAAACTAAGATTGTGACTTAATCATAGGAATTTTTTTTTTATATTGGTTAGTTGTGGAAATGTATGCATAAGATTACCTTGTATATTGACTCATTAATGCTGATAAAAGTTTTTGCAAATATTCATCTCTAGAACAGTATATATAATTCAAAAAATATAATTATATTGTTTTTGTTTCACAGCCCAAACAGTATTCTCATGGAAAAGCACAATCATCAGTGAAGGTATGTTATATCTTTGTTATTGTTATATTTGATGACTAGTCATGTTATCACATTGTTTCAAGAAAAGAAAATATCAATTTGTTATAGTTTCAGCATGATTTATGTTTATCAAGCTTAATGTGTCATTAACTAACATATGATGAAAATACAAAGCATTTTGACAATATTTCCAGATTGTGATGATGAGTAGAAATATGGTCTCTTTTGGGAATGGAATAATTAATACCAGTTAAAGCTTTGGTTTAATTCCTGAAAGTATATTGTGATACTTCTTATTCAAATATGTCTGGTTTTTAACTCCTATAAAATAATATTAGAATAAAGTCTTGTTTAGTGATAAACCTGTAATTGTTGTTGTTTTTTTCAATATATTTCTGAGATGTGTAACATATTATTCTAGAAGACTTAAATATTGTAGATGTCAAGCTGTAATTATATAAAAAAGATTAATTCCATTTCAAGTTTATAATGTTTAACAAAAACCAGTGGGTCCTGCTTAGCACTGTAATAATTGTAGTATTATTTTACTGAATTTGTTTTAACTTAAGTATTAATAATTTGGTAGGATAACATTTGAAAGACAATCATCTATCAATACTGTTTGTAACTGACCTTAAGATTTATCTGATAAATGATCTTGCAATAAAACCAATTGGGTTTTTGATGTCTACAGCAGGACTGAATGAAAATATTAGATGCATATCTGGAAGCTTGGATGTAGAAGAGGATATCAATAAAGATACCAAAAACCTTTATAACAATATTAAACTGGATTTTTACATGAAAGATGACTGCCAATGTTCCTTCATTGATTATCGTAAGTGTGCTTTGAATAAAAAGAAGAATGCTTATGATAATTTCTTAAGTTTTGAGATGATAAGATACTCTACCTTTATTTTATATAGTAATGTATCATATATTCAGCACAGGAAGTAAAATTATTTCTAAGCAATGATTAATTAATTAATTTATTTTTTAAACTCAAAGTAACTACTAAGTAGCTGTTATTTAATATTTTAACTGCATCTATTCTGTCATATTCAGGCAAGTCCTGAGAAGGACTATTTCGATATTGATAGCAACTGGGATTCTTTGACGATGTGCTGTATACTCTTTTGGATCTTCCTAATTTGAACTTTTTTGAATACTTTGAAGAAGTATCCAGGTTTTGCTGAATTCTATGCTATGTTGAACTGAGTGTGTTGTCAGTAAGGTGGATGGATGTAGGAAGCTTCTTTTATAATTTTTTTCTTGTATGTGACAGTTATCCCTTTATTATAGTACTATTCCAATTTATCATTTGATCTTCTTTGCTGGATAGTGAGCTATTGCAGATAGATCAATATTATGTGGTCTTTTATGTCTACCATGCTCTAGAATCCAAACATTTGCTAGTCTTCTCCAATATATTGGAATTCAAATCTTGAGATTTAAGAGCACTTGTGTTTAAGGTATTATCTTTAAAATGTTCCATTTAGAAGTTGGTGATAAGAATGAGCCCATGTCTAGGCCTTCATGATGTTGGCAGCAGTTAACTTCATGTTATAAGTAGTTGGTGCTGATATAGAAGGTTGTGAGACATACTGTAGAGACTGTCATTCCAATATGGTACATTACCTCCACTCACATAATTAGCTATTCTTGTTCAGTGCTGCCCTCAAATGTAAACAAAATTTTTACCTATGCCATAAGCCTTTAAGCTCCCACCCAGTTGGAATTGACTGATTCCAATGCATTTCTCATGTAAATCATCATGCAACAACCCTCCACCAATACTCTCTTGGTGCATGTGACTCCCTCTATTCAATTCTACCAACCTATCACTTCTCGTGTGGCAGTACTCATGTTATAATGTTTAGTTTATGCTCTCTTCAAGTGTTTTATTTTAATATTTCTCTGTATCTTTTTATCAGTTTCTCTCAACAAGTTTACTCTTTATTATACAAAAGTGATTTTTGTAACTTGTTGAGTTATTCCGAAGTGGAATTATTTTATACTTCTACCCAGTTACAGAACTTATTACTTCATTATAAAAACTTTTTATTTGTTTCTACCAACACAGTTGTGTTTAGTTATTAATTTTGCATTATGAATTATACATTACCATTTCGGAGGTTATATGCTCTATTAGGACATTTACACAAGCTTCAGGTTGGGGTACTCAGTGGGAAGATTTTCAGCTTTAATTCATCAGGAGATTGTCTCTTTTGAGAATGGGTACTTGCAAACCTCATCCTATACAAGCTTTCATTCTTTTTGCCTTAGCTTACCATCAGGCAGATTTTCTCCCTGATTTTATGTCATTTGCATCTCTGTTAATCCTATCCATTTTATACCCTATGTAGTTTTTTTTTGCTTCGTTTTACCCTATTGACACTCCTACATCTCCTTTCTTCAGTGTTCCACTTATATTTAGGAATTTTTGTGGAATACCTTCTCCTTCTTCCCTCCATATTGAGGTGTTTTTCATTTTCATTTCTTTCCTTCGTTTGCATAATAGAGGGATTTTCATTATAGGAAAACTTATAACTTAGGTTGTTTTCCTTGAGAGATCTTCATGAAATTCATTATTGTGTTTTGTGAGTCTATTGTGGTCTTTTATAATCTTTACAAAGTACACTTAGTTCTTAACATAAAAGAATGTTTTTACTTGTTAATTGTTATATCTTCAAGAAAACTAGCTAAGGGACAGCTGGTTAATCTCTGCAGTTAAGTGTTTATAAGTCAATATAATAATCGGAATCATCTTGACTAGAATTTGTATCAAGTAAAACAAAATAAAGAAGTTGGACTTAAGGTGATTATTCTTATTATTGTTTGATTTTTACTTGCTTATGCTTGAATCTTTAAGGTTACAAAAGATATGTAAATGTGTTTTACAGTTAGTTGTTTTGACTGTTTAGATTACAACTGATTTGTATTTTGTTCTGCTGCTTAAAACTAATGCTCATATAGCTAGTAATGTGGTATAATGTAGCTTGTAGTTCTGTGACAAAATCAGTCAAGTCTTAAATGTTAATATAAAGCTAATCACATGAGTTGGACATGTATACTTTTTCAAGAAACTATTTGTAACTAAATATAATACAGCTACATAGATTATATAGTTTAC